ACCCTAAGCATATTTGTATGTAGTTTGTTTTTTTAAACCATTTTTTAAATTGAAGTATAATTTACAGTGTTGTATTAGTTTCAGGTGTACAGCAAAGTGATTCAATTACACATACACATATTCTAGATTATTTTCCATTATAGGTTATTACCAGATATTGGGCATAGTTCCCTGTGCTATATGGTAGGTCTACATAGATTTTAATTCTCATGATTTTAAAGAATGTCTTATAACTCTAAAGATGTTTCCTTTAAAGAGCTGAGGAAATTGTGGGGCAGGGTGGGATATTAAAAAAAGGGGGGGGGGAGTATTGAGGAAATTGAGATGTTTGTCAAGTTCCCACCACCAGAAACTACTCATCCATGCTTTCTGAGTTTAAAATTGAGGTTTCGTGGATCTCCACAGACTCACAGATAGAATTCAAGGTGTCCATGCTTTGAATGGGAAAAAAACTGCATCTTTATTTTCAATTAACCTCTAGCTGAAAGTATTTCTACTGATTATGAGCATAGGCAACAAGTCACAACAGTATCAGATGTATGACTTTGTCAGCAATGGAATCCATAGATTTTCTCGTGTTCCTACTGTCACATCTCAAAATTACACACTAGTTTTCAGACCTAAAGCTACTTTTTGTTCTTATTAAAACACACGTATTAGTGTATCACAAATTAGGCCTTTTAACATTTTGCTAACTGCACAATATAACTATCCTACAAATTAGGTTTCCTTTATTCCTACATTTTATCTTTTGCATTTAAAAACTTGAATTGGAATCCCTCCACTTCAGCAGACTGCCAAAGTTGCCCACGACCAGAAACAAAACTCAAGAACCCCTGCCCTTCTCAGAGATACAAGGGATAAGCAGTACAACCACGGTTGGTGGTTTAGATACAAATATGAACACGAATTTCAGCTTATTCATACAAGCATGATTGCCTACTGTTATGCCAGACAGGCACGATACCTGTTACAGAAATCAGATTTAAGGCAGGGCCCAATTAGACAGTTCAGTGTAGCCAGAACAAAGAGGTGCTATCAAAGTTAATGTTTCTTCAGTTTTATTTGGACTCTCAACATTGGGACCTCATCAGGGGTTAGTATAGTATCTTGTTTTCAGTGTAGGCAACCTCAAATTATTCTTCAAAGTGAAGCAGTGCGTAGGCAGTGTGAAGTTGTAAAACAGTTGTACGTTGGTAGGTAAAACCAGTGGAGAGCCCAGAGTTAGAGTGCCCATACAAAGGATGCAGAATAGGGAACTAGGTATGAGGGCCTGGTGAGTTTATCAGGGAAGGCCTGTTAAGTTCAGGCAGTTTGGTGGAGCAGGGAAGAGTTTATTTCTAGACACTGAATTTGAAATAACCAAAGGTAAGTGCCAAGTATGCTTCAAAGACACAAGTCTAAAGTTTTATTGAGGACAAAGTTATATACAAATCACAATGTGCCCTACAAATGACACCTGAGTAAAAAAGGACAAGTAGCCCTTAGATTTAAGAGGTCATTGGTGACCCAAGGAAATGTTTCAGGTTAGGGGGATTAAAGTTAGAAGCTGAATCACCATAGACTTTCACAAACTTTAAGGGAAATATGTCACCTGGAGTTAAAAGTGTACAGTTAAAGTAACAGGCATTTTAAAGTAGCTCTTTTGTAAACTGGAGAGGAGTCTCAAGAATTTAGTTTATTACTGTAGGGACAGTAAAAAGCCAGAGGTGGAGGAGCCAAGTATAGTTTACCTCCTCCTCCCTCATAAGAAGCAAAAGAATTTCCTAGAGAGCTGGATTTTGAGTGCTTCAGCTAGATACTCTTAGGACCACACAAGTTTTTAAGTGCAACATCTGTCTTGGATACATTAAATATTCTTCTTTTGTTCTGCCAAACTGTAGGTCAATATGAAGATTCAGGTGTCCTCCAGAAGTTCACGGGTTCTTACCAGATCCTCCTCTTTACCCTCTTTGCGGTGTTGGCATCAACAGCTTTCCTCTTTCTAGGTAAGGAGTCCTTATTTTCAGCATCGTGGACTTTTGACTTGGAAACTGCCTTCATTTTATTTCACAAACTAAATGAGGATGAAAATTAGCTGTTTATCACATCTAATTTGGGACAAGCAATTGAAATTGATTTAGCCTCCCTAGCCCTAGTCACCTAGTGGACTGAAGTTCCTGCCCAACTTACTACCAAGCAATAAACTAGATGTGGCAAACAAATACCACTGAGAAGTGGAAATCACTTCTAAACCTTTTATTATAGCTAGTTCTGCTCTAATTCATAGCTAGAAATGACTTAAGCAACACAAAACTATGGTCTACACATGCATTTCCTATCTTTCAGCCAAGAGTTAGAAAATACCTCGAAAATCACTAAATAAAAATTTCTTGTATTACTATGAAGTTATTTAATTTGAAGCATTGCTTCTTTCTATCTAGTAATACTTAAATCTCTGAATTTTAGAGCTGACTTGCCCCTTAAGGCCTTCCTCCAATGAAAATAGATCTCTTTGGTGACATCTCCCTTGCTGTTTTTCCAGCATACAATGCCTTTGTAAACAAGATACAGACAGTTCCAGTTGTTTACAGACCAACTCTAGGAACGCGACAGCCTGGTAAAGAATCACTGTCTTTATCTTTGAAAAGCTTAGATATCACCCTCACCTTTATTCACCATTCATCTATTTCTCTCCCTTCTTTACTTCTAGGTTCTTACACATTTACACATTCTCCCCCTCCCTTCATGAGTCCACAACCACCACCAGCCCATAATCGGTTACAACACTGGCTTTGGAGTATAAGGCATTAATCTCTGCTCGGACAAGTTCCCTTAACTGTAGGGTACTGAAGATTTCTAGCCCTAGACAAGGAGCGTAGCAGCAACTTCTATACTCCTGAGCCTCCAAACAAGGCTTCTGAGAACTGTAAATAAAGGATCCTAAGCTGTTTTGTATTAAAGTGGTGTGTTGGGTTATTTTTTAAGATCAATTATCAGTTTTTAATCCTAAGAAAATATTAAAAATCAAAACAAGTACCCCATTTATACACTATCCCAGTATTTAATCAAGCTCTGAAGATTTACCCAACGAGCCTAGGGATACAAAGGTCTCAAATCAACTTTTTACGTACTTGGCCACTTACTTGCCCCAAATGACTCTAGTAGTCCACTCTTCTGGTTGCCCCTGAATACGTGAGGTAGGAACTTCCTAGCAGTAAAACAAGACAATAAACAGGATGTATCCAAAATGTGTTTATTGGGACGGTTTCCCATTCATCTTGATTCAGGGTTCTTTTAGTGCTGCTTCCGTCTGAAGGAGCATCCTGGAAGAAAAGTATCTCAAGGTTAACTGATAGGCGCTTTCTTACCCTGCCCCCACAAAAGAAAATAATACCTGATACCCACAGGAAAGCTCCATCTGTATTTTTCTCAACTCCTTTAGCTCCTACCTAGCCACTTAAAGACCTTATTATCAGCTTCAGGTCACGTGAAGCGCCTTTTGTCACCCATCCACCCCAGCTTTAATCAGTAACATTTTGAAGTTAGTAAATACTTTCTGATAATGCTTTTGTAGGAAAAAGAAAAGACTATCGAGCCCAACCAAGACAGTCTGGTAATTCACATTACACACGATCCCTCTTAAGTTTCAAAGCCCAAAATCCTAATACCAGTTAAATTATTTACCTTCTGTAAGCCTTGCTTTTCCTCCTGTAGGCTGGCAGAGGACAGTAGAGCAACCAACACACAAAACTACTGTTTGTGCATGGCTAAAGACGGTGGTGATTTTATAGCATCCTGAGAAAAAAATCAAGAAGTTAACCTATTCTTCCCATACCTTTCTTCACTTGAACACATGCTATCATGTGTTAACTGTAAGACAAGCATGTTATGTAAATTCTTGAAATTAACTTTCCTTCTAAACCTGATTACCTAGCTCTACGTATACATTAAAGCCATATACATTAAAACCAAGTTAGAAGCCATCTAGACTCTATGCCCCCACCTATGGATTTTTTGCTTTTCCAGCATACAATGCCTTCATAAACATCATCATCTAGAGCCTGAAAGATAAAGGAGTGGAACCATAAATTATTCAAAAGTCAAAAAGCAGAATACTCTACTTGGCTGGGAGGGATGCTCAGTAATGGATCAACATCCACCCCCTTGCTTCCAGGTACAACTACATAAAAGACCACAGCAGTGTTTCCAAAACAAAGAAATGTTAGTTTGCATGTGGAGTTTTTGAAGAGAGATCGCTTTGGATCACTCCTAAAATGCAAAATTTTACCCACCTCAAATATCCGAATTTTAAAAAATTAGGGTCGCTTCAAGGATACCCTTTTCCAATCCTTGGAGTCCAGTGCTTTCCCCACTACTACAATTTATCTCCTCACCTGGGCATTTCACATCCATGAAATAGGAGTTGGGGCTCTGCACCAGGCGCTTCTTCTTGTGTTTCCTTTTCTCCTCTTCTGGAGAGGGATGAAGGAGATCCTTTGCGAGCTAAGAGAGGCAGAAATTCAAAGATTTAGAAACCAACGGCGAACATGGGCTGATGGGAAACAGTCCCCACTGCCACACACCGGGGAGAGCTCGCCCCTTGCCGCCCCTGCTGTCTGCGCAGCTGGGCCGCCATCTTATCTCCTCTCCGCTCCCGTCTAAGCAGGGGCCCCCGCGGGCCTCTGCGCTCCCTGTGGTTAATGTTCCGGGAAGTGCGGAGGGCAAATGAGGGCCCTCTGCGATGCGAAATCAGCGTGAGGGGAGCGTGCGGACAGAAGAGCGAGACCGCCGCCGAAACCTGGACCAAAGAACTCACAGGCATGTTCTCGTTGGGAGGTCGTCACCGCCGGAAAGGAGCGAAAGCGGAAATCCTCCCCCTTATATCCGCCACCCTGCAGGAAGTGACGCCTGGACCTTCTGCCGCCATGTTGGGAAGGTCCTTCTCTCAAGGTCTGCGGGCGGTGGTGGTGAGGAGACGGCTGCCATTTTCAGAAGGTCTCTGATAGGACACAGATAAGTCGCCATGTTGAAAACGTGAGCTTTCTGTCTTAAGGTCAGCATTTGGTCTCTGTGGAGGAGTAAATGGACAATTTTTAAATTTCGGGCTGCACTTTGACAGTAGGAACTGCTTAGGAGAATAGCGAGACTCAGCCATGTATGAGACTTACTAAATTTCTTTCCTATTTTCCAATTGGTTTAGTTTGCCCATTAAGAAATGTAAGTATTTTAAAAAGTCCTCATACTTTCCCCACCTCCAGTCTACTCCTAGGGCTAACCATTGTTGAATTTTATTCTCTCCTTCCCATCTTTTCCCCCTAATAATTACACCACTCACTTACGTAGTTATTATTTGTGCATTGTTCTGACTGCTTTTCGTACGTTAATTTATCTTCCGAACAACTCTATCAGGTTACTATTATCAGTATTTTACAGATTAGGAAAGTGATGTCCAGAGACGTTAAATAAATTGTCCAAAGTGTGCTACTGAAGTGCCTTCCAAAAAGATTGTGCTAATTTATATTCCCACATCCTTTACCCTGCATTTTTCACCAGCACTGTATTTCCAAGATTTCTCATCTTGGCAGCACTGAGACGCTTGACGGGATGAGAAGAAAGAGAAACTGAAGACCAAATCTACAATGATGATCAAAGGGTTAGAATGCCCATTTTTCATAAAGAAGGAGCCTAGATGATCCAAATGGCATCTGGGGACCTAATTAATTCCAGAGGAATGGAATAGGGCAGGGTATATAAGTTCCAGTCAAGGGTGTGCTGGTAAAAATTTTAACGACTGGCTTTATGGAGAGTAGGCCCTGATTTGTTGTCTTTCCTAATTTCAATGGTGTGAATATTCACACCATGGCCAATTTCAAACTACCAATGTCACATCATTAAACACGGATCTAGGAAGAGAGATGCACAATCTGTTCTCATAAGCCAGTAAGAATTGGTTCCAGCACACTACTAATGGACAGGAAAAATCTCTGAGGAAGTGACATTTAAGCTGAAATCTGAAAGACAAGGAGCCAACTAAAGAACAATCTGGGGGAATAGCTTTCTAGGTTGAAGGAAGAGCTTGTGAATACAAAACCAGAGGCCAGAATGAGCCTGCCAAAATTGAGGGGGGAAAGGCATTGTAGCGGAAGCTCTGAGAGCCAAGGGGAGAGTACTGTGGAGATGAGGTTCCAGTGAATGGAGGTATACACTGTAAGTACAGTCTAGAGAGGTGAGCAAGAATAATGTATTGCTGTGGATGAAAAGTCCAGATCCAGACAAAATAAGATGAAAAAGAAAAAAACTAATGGATTTTTATCCTAAAATCCTAAAAGATTAAAGAGTAATTTAAAGGACTGTTGAGAGACAGTTTGGCCAGTGAGGAAAAGTAAAGAAAACTCAAGGTTAGTAATACAGCTTGAAGACCTAATGAGAGGTGAGATAAAGGACAAAGGGGGATTGAACAGTTGTGTTTGAGAAGAGACAAACATTGACACAAAAGTTGAGAAGGGTAAGTGACAAAAAAGATGCTTCCTCACTAACTTTATACAAGGACTATTCTAACTCGCTGTTAGAAAAGCAGATATTTTGACTAATTTTTTTCAAAGGCAAAGATAAACTTGTTTCTTTATAGCCATGTTCTTCACACTTCAGTTTCCTGGTTGCCAAGGCTACGCATTCACAGTCTGTTCTGTGAGAAGTCCGGAATACTGCCTCAGGGCTGTTAAAGATCTGCATCTCATCAGAAGAATGAGACGAGACATTTGTAGTCCCAATCTCTGTTTTCCTGAGCTGGCATGTGAGAATTCACATACACTGTCCCAGAAGGAAGGCTGTTCAAATTGAAGCCCCAGAATCTATCTAGGTAGGTATGTGTGGTTTGTGGGGGGAAGTGGGCGGGCCGCGGGGTTGGGGAGAGGAGGAAGTGGGTGATGGAGGCGGGTGCGAATTCTATAGTATAATGAATTTTAATTTTTACTCTGTTACACCAGGGGGCAGACTGACTCAACAAATAGCCGCCTACTCCAGGCATCCCGCTTTTTTTAAAAAGGAATTGGGATTCTGAAACTAAGGGCTTGGGACTAACACCAGAATTCTACAACTGCCCCAGAAGGATTCTATTTTCTTTGAGTCGCCTTTCCAAAAATCAGTCCTCAATTTTTCTTAACTCCCAGTGTTATCCTGGCCTTCACCCTTATTCCCAGAAACTTTCCCTTTCCCCTAATTCATCCAAAATTCCTCTTCCGCTGGTCATTTTGATTAAACCTCTACTTCAGTTCGCTCCAGTCTCTCTGGCCTCAGACTGGAAGAGTGAAGTCAAAAGAGGGGAGGAGTAGTAAGCAAAAAGCTTTGGGAAATGCCTGGGAAGACAGGCCAGCGCCGCTGGGAAGGGAAAGCCCAGAGAGCAAAGGGCTGGACTCGCCTCCTAGGACAGCAGAAAGGGGTGGGCGGGCAGGGGGTGGGGCCCAGAGGAGTGCCGCCTCTCCTCTTTCCCGGAGCCTGGGCGGAGAGGGAGGAAAACTTCCTGGCCTGGGCTCCGGGGCCGCTGTGTTTGCCAACCCTACAATCCCGCCTACCAGTGCCCGTCGCTTCCCCACCCCTCCCCCGGCACCCCCGGTGTCCGCCATGGCCAAAGCCTACGACCACCTCTTCAAGTTGCTGCTGATCGGGGACTCAGGGGTGGGCAAGACTTGTCTGATCATTCGCTTTGCAGAGGACAACTTCAACAACACTTACATCTCCACCATCGGTGAGCCCACTGGCCATATCCTAGATCCCCAACTCCCTCATGCTCTCATCCTCTGGCTCTTGGATTACTGGTGACCCCACTTTTCAGTCCCCTTAGAGTCAGGTTTCTAAACTCCAGTCCCTCAATCCCTGTCTCAGACCCCTCCCCCCTTGTATGTCTCCGGATGTTATCCAAATCTTTGAGTCCTCCAGGTAGCCCCTCAGTTGTGTGAGCCCCTCGTCTCCAAATCCACATGAACCCTTCCCTATTTCCTTCTCCACTCCTCTTCCCCCATCCCTATCCACCTAGGATTCCTGATCCTGTATCCCCTTTTCCCTGAATATGTCTTCCAATTCTTCTGGCCTCTTTCTGTCCCACTGAGTTGCAAACTCTCCCATCACATTCCCACCTTACCATCTACTTTCCAGCCTCCATGCCCCTCAACTTAATTGGGGGTTGGGGAGGATGGAACAGAGAGGCTGGTTGTGTTGTGTTGGACTGTGATCATGAATATGCAGTCAGCCTGGTGAGGAAGGTGGGAGTGAGGGGACTTTTGGGGTCTCTGAGTCAGCCTGGTGACTCAGCCTCCTCCCTGGGGCTCCCAACAGGCTCGGGGGAGGTGCACAAGTTTCCACTAAGAACATTGTCCCCCCCTCCTCCCTCTCATCTTTCCTAATCTCCTCTGGCCTGGGAAATAAGACAAAGAGAGTCTCCAGACAATTCTGGTTAGAAAGAGGACGGGAAAATGCCCCTCTCGCTGAATTCAGTCTCAGAGGGAATCTTGTTTGGCCTCAAACTTGGTTTCAAGCCTGGCCTACTAGTTAATTCACATAGACTGGCATCAGCTACCTTTTACCTCGCTCTTGATCTTTACCCTGTAGGGCCAGGAGGGTGGGTGGGAAAACCTAGAGCAGAGGGTTCTAAGAAAACAGAAGAGAAAAGGAATCTGAAAGTAATACTTTGGGAGAGACATTGAATTGAGAGGGTTGTCAGCTGGCATGGCTGAGTGAATCCAAGAAGTTGCCTTAAAGGCCTTGAGCCTTCCTGCAAAATTTTCATCATCATCTTCCCCACGAAATCCATAAAATATAAGTAAAAACAATATGCTTGCTATACAAATACAGCTTTGAGAAAATCCTCCTAGTTTTACTGTTCCAACATGATTGCTTCCCAAGTGCGTCCCCTGCAGAATCTCTGCCACTGCTCGATTCCTGTCTCTCTCAGCACACGCTTTCACATGCACATACATACATGTCTCAGTCTCAGTGTCCACTCTCCACCCCTAGGAATTGATTTCAAGATCCGCACTGTGGATATAGATGGGAAGAAGATCAAACTGCAAGTCTGGTGAGTGAATCCCCAAGGATTCCTAAACCAGGCTTCCTCATTTACTTCCTGTAGCCCTGTCTCTTCTATTTTTCCTCATTTTTCTCCCTTTCCCCATTGCTCCTTCCAGCACTTTTCCTAATCCATTTCTGTCACCTCACTCAGATGTCCTTTTGTCTCTCTTCCTGCTTTTCCTGCTTGCTCAACTATTTTCAGCTTTTTTATATATATATATATAATTCTCGTGCCTCTCTCGGCTCTAGAGCATTCTCTGAACTTGGCAACAATTGTCTGTTGAGCTGCAGTGTGGAAACAAGCTCTATACAGTTGACTAGCAAGTAGCAGAATTAAGCCTTGACTCTAAGTCTGGTGCTCCTGTTAAATTACAGAGAGCTCAGAAAGCCAAGTGTAAAAGTTTGACCTGACTTGAGGAAGCTGCAATCCTGACGGTGTTAAATGGAGGCATTATGATACGATAAGAGCAGAATGTGGTTCAATCCTGGTTCTGTTACAGTATGACCTTCATTAGTTATTTGGCCTCTCCAAATCTGTTTCCTCATTTGTAAAATAGAGACAATAAAACATGTCTCACAAGGATAGAGTGAAGATTAGGTAAAATGACACAAATAAGATGATACATACACAGTGCTTAGCACAGAATAAACAATGAATAAAACAGGTCTTGTTTCTTAGGCTTCAGCCATCTCCAGTATCAGCCCAGCTATCTTCCATCCCTTTTCTCCTTTTCTGTTTCCTTTCAGCACCCCTTGTTGCAAAAGCTAAATTCTTAGGACGTGGGGGCGGGATTCTCTATTTCAAGAGCTCTTCCCTCTATCCCACCCCATGAAATATTCCACCTCTTCAGGGACACAGCTGGCCAAGAGCGATTCAAGACGATAACTACTGCCTATTACCGTGGAGCCATGGTATGAAGTGTGGTTCTGGACAAGGGAGGAGGCATGAGGCAATAGAAAATATGAATACAGAGGGGCAGGAGTTGGGGCAGAGAAGAACGGGGAAGGGCACAGTATGGGTTGCAGAAGGCCCCGTATGGCCTAGCGTTAGACTTGTGGATAGAATTTGCACGGTCACTTAGAGGGCAGTAGGAAGCCTAAACAGGGGAATAAGTGAACTTTGCCACTTTCCAGGGCATTATCCTGGTATATGACATCACAGATGAGAAATCCTTCGAGAATATTCAGAACTGGATGAAGAGCATCAAAGAGGTGAGGACTCTCCCAGAGAGATGGGGGAATTGGGTAGAACCTGGAGGATGAAGCAGACTGTGAAAATGAGCAGGACCCAACTTCTACTCATCCGTCTTACCCTTTTGCTCCCAGAATGCCTCTGCTGGGGTCGAGCGCCTCTTACTGGGGAACAAGTGTGACATGGAGGCCAAGAGGAAAGTACAGAAGGAGCAGGCCAATAAGGTAAGAGCCGGCTGGGCAACGTTCCAGCACTGGGCCAGGAGGGCCAGGATGAGGCCGGACTGCAGAGGGCTTGGCTGCTGCCCTTCATCCAACTCTCTTCCTCCCACTTCACCCCCTGCAGTTGGCTCGGGAGCATGGAATCCGATTTTTTGAGACAAGTGCCAAATCTAGTATGAACGTAGATGAGGTGAGACCTACCCACCCCCACTCCTCAAAGAGATAAAGTATTGGAAGACAGGCTTATCCTCCCCTCCAACCTCTTCTGACCAGTCTCTCCTTTCCCCATTAGGCTTTCAGTTCCCTGGCCCGGGACATCTTGCTCAAGTCAGGAAGCCGCAGATCGGTGAGTTAGTTGGATTTGCTGGGCTAAGTACGTGTGTGTGTGTGTGTTTTATGGCCCCAATGTGTGTGTGTGTGTGTTTTATGGCCCCAGTGTGTGTGTGTGTGTGTGTGTATGTGTGTGTGTGTGTGTATGTGTGTGTGTGTTTTATGGCCCCAGATCCCAGCCAGCCATTCTCACCTTGACCCCTGTACCCTTCTCCCTCTAGGGAAACAGCAACAAGCCCTCCAGCACTGACCTGAAAACTTGTGACAAGAAGAACACCAACAAGTGCTCCCTGGGCTGAGGACCCGTTTCTCCCTCCCCACCCTAAGCCTGGAGGCTGAACGTGAGGGAGGCAGGGCTGAGAGGCTGGGCAGGGGAGAAATAGCAAGTGGGGCTTGGAGGGATAGAGACAGGCAGATGGTGGAAGAATGGGGAGGGAATGGTAACAAAAAAAGGAAGGAGAGAAAAGGAAAGAGGAAAAGGAGGTAGAATAGAGAAGGAAGGAGAAGAAAGAAGGAAAAGAATTGAGGAAGTGAAAGGTGAGGAGATAGGAAGAGAGGGAGAAGGAAAGGAAGATGGCCCTAGGCCTCAGGCCTTTTCTGGGTTTCCAGGGCAAACATAAATGTAAATAAATAATTGATTTATTCTGTTACTGAATCAGGCTTTAGGGTCCTGAGAGAGGCTGGCTCAGCACCACCCTCTGATGGTTTGGTCCTATCCTGTCACTCTGCATGGTCTTTCTCAGTATTAAAGGCCACCATTTGCACGAATGTCCCTGGTTTGGGTAACTTTCATCATTGTCAGAATTGCTCTCTACTCATAAACCTAATTCTTGCCTCTCTAAGGTGGTTGATCTGCCTGAATCTGGTCCTGTTATGCCAAGACCCTTCCTATAGCTCTCCCTTCCCCAGATGTTTAATTGGTGAAGAAAAGCAAGGAACAGAGTTTCTCTGAAACTGAAGGTCTGGACATCCTTTCTCCAGCATGGGGTTTAGAAGATCCTTGTGTGGGCAGTCTTGTCCAAGAGATTCCAAAGGAGAAGGGCTCTTACTGGGCCTCCCTAGGGGAGTGACAACCCTAGCCTCAGGGAAATAGTAGAACCAGTATTTTTTCTCCAGTGATTTCTGCAGGCACCTCTGATTCTGCCAGCAATCCCTTTAGGTAACTAGTGGCATTATTATCTGCTTTTATAGATGAGGAAAATGAGACACAGAAGAAGTTGATTTAATCATAAATATTGACTGAGCATCTACTACGTGCCAAGCACAACGGTCAAGTTAATGTTCTATAACCTCTGGGTGGTACTTACAAGAAGAGGGACTAGTAAAATTCAACAAAAACAGTTCCTAATTACTGAATAACAAAGAGGGAAAACTATTGGCATGCAACAGAACCACCAACAAAAAACTCAGGCAAACTCAGGCTTGATACACAGTCCCCTTAAGTATACGCAGCCCCCTTTTGCCCTTACACAACATGTTTTAAACAGTAAAATTATCTCACAGACTTGATCTTGTATCAGGATAATGAAAATGTCAGATTTGGTTTAGACAAAAAAACATTACTTTTATTCATGGATATGATGTTCAAGGCATTTAAAAAATCCCCAAGCCTTCAGTGTGGAAGGCACAACCTTCATCATCAGCAAAGCCTTTTTGTGTTTGTGCTGCTGTTTCTGTTGGTAAAAGACAACACTCAGAAAAAAAGTGACAGTGCCAGGAGAAGGACTCGGAAAATAATTCGATAAATGTATTAAGTATCTAAGCTTCGATGGGGTAAGGATCCTTATCTATGGCTTATGTTTGAGCTCTGTAGTCAACTGCCCAGCTTGTTTAATTTGCTCAACAGATGAGGAAAGACTTGCATTTTGTGAATCCCAGGAAGAAGATTGACATCTTTGTCATACCTCAGAGCAGATATTTTAAAGTCCAGTTTGAGCATAGAGATCTTATTCAGTTGCTTGGTATGGCTATGGGAAGTGAGATCTTACAAGATCTCAGTTTGTCATAAGACATAGTAGGAATGGGAAAGGCGTAACAGAATACTAGACTTCGGCCAAAACTCTTACAGCTAAAAGGTACTGGAAAAAACGTCATACCCTACTTTCTATAACATAAAACTATTGACACACACAGACAAATAATAAAGGAACAAATACATAGTTTCAAGCAAAATTAAAGCTCAGCCCTCACTAGGTGTTGGGTTTTTCTTTTTCAACTCTCACCCAATGATCTTTCTAGCCTGACAGTTCCTGCTTTTGAGAAGCCAGGTTAAAGTCTGATAGGAAGACAGAATTCATGGGATGTAGCATCAGACATACTGTTAATCTCAAAATAGAGTGTTCTAGCCCTTAAGGCTGGAGGGGAGGGGAGTAGGCTATGTTTTTTAGCCTGGAAAGATTTGTTGGGGGAGGAGAATGTGGAGCAGAGTTAACAAGGAAAAAGTATGGGGATAAATGCTTTGATTTTGAGAGGTGGGATATAGATTAATTAATAAAATTAACTAATAGTGCCTAGATTTATATGAAGTTTATTTTTAAATACCTCTTATGTATCTACTGAGCAACCAAGAAAACTAAACTCATATGGTCCAGTTGTCTGGGAGACAGCAGAAATACATATATGTAAAACTAGGAGGAAAATTCTGGCAGAATTAGTATAGTGACTGATATGTTACCAGACAGTAAAGCATTAACCTAGAATGTGGGTCAGATCACTGCAGTTCTAGATGTATGTTAAGGTTTGACTCCATGGGGAAAGCAGGCACAAGTCTGAAGCCTGGGAGGTGAAAGTCTAGGTTTAAGCCTCAGCCTTCCTACTAGCTCTGAGCTTGGACAAGTGACACACACTGAGTTTATTCACAAAAAGAGATAATAACCAACTGACTCCTCAGGATTACTGAGAATCAAAAGGAGCTAAATGCTGAATTCAAAAAGTATGATAGAAATGTGAGGCAACATAGAAGAGGATAAATTATTAGAATTAGAAGAGGATAAAATATTTTCATAGACATTTCACTTGCACCTTGCAGAAAAAAAAAACCAACAAAACCTAGAAAATGCATATTAGCATTTCCATTTTATACAGAACACTGAGAGCCAGATACCATTCTAAAGTTACGTTGCTAATAAGCACCAGAACCTAGACTCAACACTTCTTGGGAGTTCAAATCTCATGCTCTTATTGCATTATGTAGGAGCAAGGGAGCTGAAAACATTTGAGGAAGTCATTCAAAGGTCCGGCTGTGGAGAGTGATTTAGCAATTAATATCAGAGAAGGTGATACCGGAATAGAGCTGAGTGGGAGCCCAGAGACAGGAAAGGGCTTCACGTTCATCGCTGGTCTCGGGCATTCCTGGCCCCAGAGAGAAGAGAAAGTGCAGTTTCGCCTCCGTTCCTGGACGGCCAACTCAGCTTCTCCCCTTGACTGTAAAGGGTAAGGAGGTCAAAATCTGATGCTGAATGGTGAATCCCAAGGTTTTAAGGGGGGGAAGAAAGCCCCGAGAGGGCGACGCATTGTTCCTTTTTGTGTCTCGCTGTTCACCTAACGCCGAGGCAACAGGCAACAGCGCAGGGAGTAAGGAACCGAGAACGCCCACAAGCCGCACCACCGCCATTTCCTCAGTTCCCTCAAAAGACTACCAGGACCATAGTGCAACCGTGTGTGTGCCCCGTCAATAGGTCGCATCTCGCTGCTCGGATGCCGTGAAATCCAATTCCCAGGGAGCAGCGGGCGCGGCGCCACCAACCCCGAAAGACTACAAAGCCCATCAGGCAACTCGCGGACCTCCGCCTCCGAAGACTGGCCGAAAACCGACCGGCACCCAGGATCCTCCGCGGGACAAGATGGCCGCGCCGGGAGCGGAAGCGGAGCCGACAGGGTGCTAGGCCCTACGCCTCCTCGGCCTTTCGTGAGGACCTTACGGGTCCGACGAGGGAAACTCACGAACCTGTCAGGCAAATGCGTATTGCCTTTTCTCGCCGTGGCCATGGGGCCGTCCTGATAGAGCCTTGGAACTGACAGGCAACCACAGCATTTCGCAGTCCCGACTTGGAACCTCCCCAGGACTGCAGAGTAAGCGCCGCCTCTGCGTTCCGACAGAGGCACGAGGCCAGTCAAGCAGGTCCCTCTGTCCCGACAGGTGTGACACTGAGCACTCCATGCCTGCGGGCGCGGGGAGGCATGGCCCCCCCCAGGGCCGCCACCTCTGCTGGTTGCTCTGCGCTTTCACTTTAAAGCTCTGGTAAGGAGGGGCTGAGGACTGGGAAAAGGAGGGGACTGGAGGGTCGGATCGTCCCCGCCCCCCAGGTTGAGGGAGACCGTGTCCCGGGGCCGCGGAGGTGGGCGGTTCACTGTATTCTGGCTTCTTACTTTTGCCCCTTTCCCTCCCTCACCCGCTGCAGCCAAGCAGAGGCTCCCGTGCGGGAGGAGAAGCTGTCAGGTGGGTGATGGGTCTGGGAACACGACGCCCCTAGTTTTTTTGTTTTGTTACTACCTTCTCCTATGTGTCAACAGCACAGGTGGAAAAGGGCGGCATCACTTGGAATGAGGGCGTTCAGCTGGGCTGGGAAGTTGATGGGCAGAACTTTGCGGAGAAGTGTTTTCTGAACGAAATCTGCGGCTTGCATTTCTCTCCCTTTTTAGTGAGCACCTCAAATTTGCCGTGCTGGCTGGTGGAAGAATTTGTGGTGGCAGAAGAGTGTGCTCCGTGTTCTAATTTCCAGGCTGTGAGTATCAGTCTTCTCTCCCTTTTTCCTCCTATCTGATCAGTCCCTAAGTCTTCACTAAGAGTGCTTTTACATTGTCTTTTTGTCCTTTTCCTTGTGTTTTTATCTTTGTCCTTTCCTACTAAGGCCAAACCTGAATTTGTCTTTTCCCCTGAACATGTGCCCTTTCCCTTCCAAGTTAATGGCGACATCCAGCTAATCACCGTGTTCGGTTCATTTTTAATCCAGTAAGCTCCGGAACCTGCCCTCACCTCTCCTAGACTATTGTCCCTGAAGTGTTCTCATTAACACATATTCCGCATCATGCAACCACTGCCTCATCCTTACCATCGGAACTCTTCAGTAGTTCTCCGTTGCCTACCAGCTCTGAGCCATAGCACTTGAGCACCTGCTCATTCTGAATGGCAGCGTTTCTGCTTCTATTGCCCCTTCTTAACATGTGCTTTGGTCCTTTTCTCCTGTCAGAAAACCACCCCTGAGTGTGGTTCCACAGGGTATGTGGAGAAAATCACATGCAGCTCATCTAAGAGGAACGAGTTCAAAAGGTAAGTGTTGTCTTGAAATCTCCTAGATCGTCTCCTTTGCTCCTATGACTTTATGTAGATAGTCCCACCTCTTCCTCTTTGTCTAGAGGCAGCATGGCATATTGGAAAAGGAAGGGGATTTGGAGCCAAATGACTTCAACCCAAGTCCCACCTTTATTCTTCAGCACTATATTCTTGGCCATATTTGCTCATCAGCAAAATTGGTTAATACCAGCTGTTTATCTCACCAAAAAATAAATTACATAGTTGAGGGGGATTAAGGTACTGGAAACACCTTAGAAGACTGGTTTCCACTTTCCCCTTCAGATATATCTTGGTTAGGATGAAGCAGGAGGGAGATTAAAGGTAGAGGCTATCTGACCTTCCCTGGAAATAACTGTTTCTTCTTGCCCTCAGCTGCCGTTCAGCTCTGATGGAACAACACTTATTCTGGAAATTTGAAGGGGCTGTTGTGAGTGTGGCCTTGGTCTTTGCTTGCCTTGTCATCGTTCGTCAGCGACAGCTGGACAGAAAGGCTCTGGAAAAGGTCCGGAAGCAAATTGAGTCCATATAGCTACCTTCTCCCCTTTTATGGGGTCTTAGAGACCCTATCGCAGACAGAGAAAGTGGAATGGACTGACTCATGCCCCTGGTTCTCTGGAACCTTATGGTGGCACCCCCTTTCTCCCATCTTCCCCATCTAAATCATTAATGAGTAGAATAAAAAGTAAAATCATTTCCTTCCCTACTGTAATTTGATTTGGAGCAGGAAGTCATGGGGGTAGAGAGGAAAAGGGGTGGCAACTTCAGGCTCCAGTTTACCGAGTATCTATCTTCCCTGTCTTCTACTACTTACTTAAAACTTCCAGGATACAATTTCAGCAAAAAAACAAAAAGTTTATTTCTCAGCCAAAAGGTCTGCTTCCCCTAAACCCTATCCCCAAAGAAGAAATAAAACCACAGATACATAACAAAAGTATTTGAGGTGCCCCCTCACATAGGCAGACTGAGCTCAGACATCTAGAGTATCCTGAGCCCTGAGGCCAGAGAACCCTGAATGGGAATCCCAGGTGGGAAGCAGAACCACAGTGGAGCCCTGAATTCCTTATTGTGAATGGGAAGTGGGCCAGGAAGTGTTACAGCTCACATCTCATCTCCGTGCAGCACAGTTCTGATGTGCCTGTTGGGCCCTGCCCTCCCTTCCTTCTCAAGCAGTGTCTGTGTTGAGCCATTTGCACCCTTGGCCCCAGGTGGCCCCTCCAATCTGGACTCAACCACTGGGTTCTCCAGATTTTCTGTCATGTCCTTGTGAGTCAGGATGTTTCTGGAAATCACTGTGGGGTGAAGGAAAAGGGCAGTAGTATAGTGCTCCCTTGGTTGGGGGATCCTAGACAGAACAGGACCTCCCTCCCACCTCTTGACTACCCTGGAAAACAGAATCCCTTCCTGCCTTTGCCTCTCACCTCCATGAGGCTGGTAATCCTCAGGCCCAGCTTCTGGTAGGCCCTGAAAGGGGCTGAAACTGGGCAGGATGATGAGAGCCAAGGAGAAAAGAAGGATCTGGGAAGAAGCAAGAGGACACTTGGGCTGTGGGAACAATAAAGGAAGGGAACAGGGGGCAGTTGGGGTCATTAGGGACGGGAAGATAGGTATGGCTAGGAAGTGGGGGTGTCAGGATGGAAATGTGGCAGAAGATGGAGGAGGTGAGGGAGAGATGGGAAATAAACTAATGGTACCAGAACACAAGTGCTAGTCTGGGCAGCTTTGTTGGAAGTTTGAACAATAAGCATCTGCAGCTGGCGGAGCTGAGTCACCAGGGAGCTGGGAAACAGGGAATGAAGAGTTAGATCTCCTGGAACCAGGGCCCAAGAATGGTGACCCTGTATGCTGCACCCTTCTCCCAACACGCATACTATGTTTTCACTCACATGTTGTGTCTCTCCAGCTCCTGGACTTTCTTCTGTAGTTCCTGATTCTGTGCAGAACAGGCAGCCACCCTAGGGAGTGTGGAAAGGTAGGATAAGGCTCTGTAATCACGTGAGCCCCTGACCTTACCTCCCTTGGTAAAGGAAGGGGGCCCAGATGTGTAAGCCTGCAATGTGAGGCAAATGTACCTGCTCTCCAGTCCATCGATGTACTCTTTCTTCCGTCGCCGACTGTCCTGAGCTGACTGCTTGTTACGAATTTTCCTCCTGACCTTCTTGAGGACCCTCTCCTCTGCCTGGGGACCCAGGGTGTGTCAGTCCTGGGCCCTTAACCTCCCTCGATTCCCCACCTCTCCCCTGGTATCCTGACTCCTCAGAGGCCATGGAAGGGCTGCTGGGTTAGGATACTCTTTGGGGAAGCACGTTACCTTAGTGAGGGGCAGGTGAGAGGGTAGGGAAACCCCTTCCTGTCCCAGCAGACGCTTCTCCTCATCTGTCAGGAACAAGGTTTGACAGGGCAGCTGGTAGGGGACAAGAGAAGATGAGAATGCAGAGAGGATCATGCCATTGTCAGTACCCAGGCCGTACCCCTTGCATGCCTCCTGGAGAGTGTTTCTTACACTGAGGAATAACAAACCATGAAATGAGGAGCAGGGACCTTAATTCAGACAGACTCTGGATTGAGCCAAAGGGAGTTCTTGAGGCTGACAAGGGAGAGGGGAGGTGGTTTTGTCATATTCTTTGCCCACTAACTTAGGACCTTGACACTCTGAGCAAGCTAGGGAGGGACTGTTCTGGTCCACGTCTCCCCAGACCTTAGGGGTATTTGAAGAGGATGTGGAGTAACTCACTAAGGTAGAGTTTGCTTAATCTTACAGCAGGCAAATGATTCACTTTCAGCCATTAAATTTGGCAGAGCGTTATCCAGTTACCTGTCAACCACAGGGAAATCCCTGGGGCAGGGGCCCATTCTCCCCTAGAGTCTGAGCCCCCCTTTTCAGACTGAAGTTCTGTCCCATCTCAAAGAATTCCCCAAAGGCAACCAGACTGAACAACTTCTCATAACAAAAGTATGTGGGGAGAGTAGATGGTATCTGGTAAGCTGAGCCTATCAACTGAATAACTTGCTTTTCTAACTCATATTCCTTTTTGAAAGACTTACGGTTCACTTTGTGACTTAAGAGGAATTTGCTTTTGTTTTTGCCTCCTGATGGTCTCTTGGCTTTTAGCTAAACCACTTCTATCTTTGCTGTTTTCTGATGTTCCCTTCTTGCTCTTGTGACTATTTGGCAAAATATTACCAGACTCCCCAGTGTTTTTGATACATAGTCAAGTTTAGATGCCTCAGACTTTTTAAGGTTTCTCAGCCTAGATTCTAAGATGCTTGGCTTGGCATCCAGTTGTAGCTTCCACAGATTTGCAGGGAGGCTAGAACCCATTCCCTGCCTTTTGCACACAAGGCATTCTTTCCAGGATAAAGGGAGGCACAATGACCTGAGCAAGGCCCCCTCCTCATCCCCACTGCAGGAACCAGCCCAGCCAGTCTTGGGAAGCTGTGTGATGTGTGACCCTCCCTACACTGTAACCCTGGGCAGTGGGTGCCTGCTGAACATTGTTCCAGTAATAAATCTAGTTGCAGTTGCTTCTACACCCTGTGCCCAGTAACCAGTTGGAATCCAGGTGGCCTGTCCCATTTCCACGTCCTGACCCAAAGCTGAGACAACTGCCCTGGCTGAGCAGACAGTGCACACAGATTGGGGCTTTCTCCTGAGCCTTGTCCCTGGATTCCCTCACCTCACCCTCTCCTTAACTGAGGCATTACCACCTTACCCCTGAGGGCTTCTGTCCCTCTTATCCTTTCTTGTTCTAAAGTTGCCCATATCTCCATGGCATTCAGGCCTGATGCCACAAAAACTGAGGCAAAGACAGTGTTCAGCATTAGTTTCCCCCTCCCTCATCCCCTTCTCCCCAGTTCTGTACATCAGGGAGTACTGAATCCAGCTGACCCCCGAGACTCACCAGGGCTGCAGGAGGCACTGGGTTTACAGTGCCCGCTCTGGGCAGGATGTGCGCATGAGTGTCAGCAGGCAGCTCACTGACCACGCAGGCATCAGGCACCATAAATGGTGGGCTCCACTGATCTGAAGGAGACATAGGTGATTGGGAGAAAGGAGATGCAGGGTATACCCTGATGGCTGCAGGGCCTGAGTAGTGGCACAGGGTGGGGAAGCCCCCTTAACCCCAGGCTTAGGGCTGGACCTGAAAGGCCATTGTCCCCTTTCCATAAACACTGACCTAGTTGGATGGAAATGAACCCTACAGCTGTCCCAGCTTCCTCCTGCATCCTCTCCAGGGCTCCTGTCTCATAGACAACCTGATAGAGGGCAGGGGAACTGGGTGGCTTCGGGGCAGGGGGACTGTCTGGATGGCCAGGATCCTCAGAGTTTCCACTGTCACTGCCAGGAGATGCTTCTGAGCAGTACACTTCATTGGGATCAATGAAAAGCTTCAGGAAATCTTCAGACTCACTCTCTCGAAGACCCTACAGAAGAAGAGGGTGTATATGTGTACAGCGAAGAATTCTGGAAGTCCTATCTGATGTCAAAACTAGATCCTTCATGCTTCAGTTTCAGTTCCTTCTGTCCTTGGACATGAGAATAGTGGAGAGTTACAGCTCATGTCTATTTTAGGGGCTCTGTCTTCAGACCTCTCTGAGTGGAGGCTAAAGCCTCTTGGACTTCTTATTACAGAGTTGTGTCTCAACCCACACCCACCTCCATTCATCACACTCACACAGCCATGGCCCCCACTGGACTCCCAGCCTTGCAGCCCCTGTTCTTGCAGCCTAGTTACTGGGCCTTCTGGAGGTAGAGAGAGTCCCAGCTCCAGGAAGGATCCTGTTGAGAAGACATCTTCTGGGGGCTCCAGCCACACATCCAGCAGGTCAGGGGTTCTGAAATCCATGCTTCTGCAGGGAGGGTGGGGGGTGGAAGTTGCAGAAATGGGGTGATAGCTCTCCCCCTCCCTCCCCCAGTTTCTGGGTTCATCTCCCTCTTCCATTGTCCCCCTTCCTCACCTGTGCAGCCCCCTCACCTGTCACCCGGAGCTCTCTCCTCCAGCCTTATCTCTGGCTCAGACCAACAGGCTCCCCACTGGGTATTACCTGTTCCGAAGAGCTCAACCGTGCCAAGCCAGCTAGCCCGTTGATGGCCCCAAACACTACACCTTTTCTTTTCTCCAGGATCTCGCATCCTGGACCTGCCTAGCCAAACCCCGCCCCCAATCTTAACAGTTCGAATGTGGGTTGCACCTAGCCAGGAGCCACGATAGGGGCGCAGTATCTGGGAGCAGTGTTAAGACGCTGAGCGTCCACAAACGGAACTTAAGGGAAACAGCAGCCTTGCCCTTTCTGCCTGAGTTTCTCCTAGTGATAGTAGATCTTCCTGAGGATTTAGTGGCTCCTCAGGGAAGGATAGAGATGACTGGAGCACTGGACGCTTGAATGTTCTCTGGCCATCAATTTCATAGGCCAAGGCGGGGTTGAAAACAAAGGAGGGAAGAGTCCACAAGGATTGCTCAAGACTTACAGAGACATCCCCTCCCCCACCCTGTGGCGTCTTCCCACGGTTGAGTCTGATTGGAAGCTAAAGACATAGGGGTTTTGAGGGGCAGGCCATTGAGCCAATGGGATACCGCCTCCAGGCAGGCTCCGCCGTAACTGGTCGAAATGGGCTGTCAGAGACGGCTTGAGGCCAATGCGGCCAGGGCTCTTATTTGTCCCGCGGGGATTGGGTTCAGCGGGACCAAAGGGAGGGTAAGAGACAGAAGACAAATTGTAGGGAAGCGGGGAAAAGTTCCGGGATTGTGGGTAGCTTGGTTTAGTTTCGCTTGCGCGTGACTCTGAAACCCTAGGCCGGGAATAAATAACTTGTTGACCCAAGTTAAGTGACAGAGCTTCGACTCAGCGGGCGGAAAGTCGTGCAGTCGTGTGTTATCCAAATCTGTTATCCAAGCATTATAGTACTGATAAAGAACAGCAGTTACACATACACACTCACAGGACTCTGTTAACTAACGGAGAGACAAGGTCTAGAAAACTGCAAAAGGTTAAAAAAATCATTTGGATTTGGTTTGGGAATCTGTCTTATTTTTTGCGAATAATTACCAACAACATGCAATTTGTATCCTACGTGTATATAGATTACAAAATGTTTTCATAAACATTGTTCCTCATTTAATCCACAACAGCTCTGAGGCAGACAGGGAAGGTGATGTTTTTCCGATTTTACCTATGAGGAGTCAGAGATACACGACTGGAATGTAGTGATACGGAAACTCAGAAAATTTTGCCTTGGTCTAGAGACTGATGACCCAGGAATTCACTTGAAATAAAATAACGAAGCTATACTGATAGAGGTATAATTTTCATCTGCCTGCCTCCCCAACAGTACTTCAGATAAAGGATAGGAGTGAATAATAAAGCACAAAAATTTGGGATGTGGATTCACAATTCTTCCCTCGAAAATTTGAATGGGCTAGGGGTAAAGACAAGCACAGGGTCTAATATTTATTGAATAATTGATATATGTTAGGCATTTTCCTGTTACTCTTATAATTCTCATAGCAACTCACAGCTGGCAGAGAGAGTAAGTTAATTTTCTCAAGATTACTCTGTAAGTAGCTGAACCAAGATTTGAATGTCTGAGCCCATATTCTTTGCACTATACGAAGGAAGCTATCTTGCTGGGACTTTCTCAAATTTTCCCACTGTCTTTTCTGCTCATCTCCCTGCATCCTGCTGAAGTATGAAGAGACAAAGCTGGCTCATGCAGAGCTCCAAGGAAAGCAGAGCTGTCCTTTTTGAGCTCATTCCTAGAGCAAGGAAGGTTTCAAAGAGTTTCCTGCAGGCTGCATGTGTAGAGACAATTAAGTGGAAAATACACAGTTGCCCCTGGTTATCTGCAGGGGATAGGTTCCAGGAATCCACCCACCTCCCCGTGAATACCAAATTCCTCAAATGCTCAAATCCCTTAGGTAAAATGGCAGAGCATAGTCAGCCCTCTGTATTCACAGTTTCTGCATCTACAGATAGGGAGGACTGACTGTACTCAGCTTCTATTAATGTTAGAAGTGGGCTAGTCTAACGTCCTTCTTCCACCTGATTTATCAAGCTCCTGAGAGAGAAAATGACTTGCTTTACATTACACATCAAATTAAGGTAGCGCTGGGACTAGAACCCAGGTCTCCTGACTCCCAGTCCATGATTCCTTGTTAATGCTACTAATCATCAATAATCTTTTTAAAAATAATCTTGAAAGCATAATTTGCCACAGACAGACCAGAGCATGCATAATATTCCCTTGACTATTCTGGAGTTGCCTCTAATAGTAATTTTTCTCTTTTAATTAAGAACTTGGAACAACAATTATTCTTTTATTAAATTATAGAACACAAATATCCCAATTCACTTACACCCTGATCTTAGAAAAAGAAAAGAATGATTCTTTTCTCCTAAGCCCCCTCCATCAGAATGTCCTCCTGTCCCTCTTCTTAAGGAAGTTGCCGGCCTCCCCTTCTAGAGCCTTATCAAAGGCATCACCTTGTCCCTTCTTCAGGTGAGGCCTTTTCACCTTTGCAAAAAAGAACAGACTAAGCCCCCTTTATTTTCCTCCTTTGTGCCCTACCCTCCCATGAGACTAGAAGAGGATTCTGATAGCACAGGGATGTGGGCCAAGACAATTCAGGCTAAGGAAACAGTTAAGGTCCAGAGTCGAAAATACCTTGGTTCATTCAAGGAACAGAAAACAAAAAGGAGGCCAAGAGGGCTGGAGGGAGAGAAGTTGGAGAATTCCAGATGGCTTTGGCGAGAACTCTGGACAGATGCCTTGAGGTATGGTAAGGATGATAAATGGAGTGTACTGAAACTATTCTCTGAGTGGGGTTCCAGCAACCCCTGAGAGGGGTCCCACCACTTTACCAACTTGCAGGCAGAAGGCTGCACAGAAGTCAACTCGGGCCATTGGTAGTTCAATGTTTGATATTCAGGAAATACCCGCACTTTGCTATCCCCCTTTTCCAAGTCTGCCTTGTCTTTTTTTTTTTCCTTGTGGGTGCTAGCTAGGAAAGTTAAGCAAGGAAGTCAGTCCTAAGGTGGGAGCTTTCCCTTTGGCGCCAAGGTGCACAGAAGCGGTCTTAGAACTTTGGCCCAAGACCCGGCAGATACCCTTAAAAATGTGGTAGGCGGAAGACTTGGGAAAGGGGGTTGGATATAGAGCACCAGCCTTGCCCGCGGGATTTCTAGCTTCCCCTTTTATAATCTCCAAAAGATCGAACCTTTGTGACCCGCCAGTTCCGCCCTCCAGACATCCACCGCAGAGCCCCAGGCCCTCGGGCCCCCAGGTCCTCTCGGAATTCCTTTTCCTTGCTCTCCCCAACTCTCGGCTAGTCTCCGCCTCCGTCCGGCTCCGGCTGCTGGTCTCTGATTGCTTCTAGCTCACGTCACTCCCAGTCGGGCCCCGCCCTCCAAGCGCTGTCATTGGCTGCCGTGGGCGGGTACGCGGCGGCTGAGGCGGGAGGGGGAAACGATGGGGAGGGGGCGGGAATTCCCGACTCCCGACCGGAACCGAGCGGATGCGGTGTAGTGAGACCCTCGAGAGGTGAGTGCGGGCTCCTGGAAATCAAGATCGGGGTAGGCTGCCCAGGCCTCCCGGGGCCTACGAGCCAGAGTCCCGGCTCTCACATTCTTCTGCTTCCCGGGACGCTGGCGATCTCAGACCCCGCCTCCCGGACCCCGGACTTCCAGACACCGCCCTCAGTTGTCGGGTCAGCCCGCCCCGGGACCCCAGACCCCTAGAGTCATCTGCCTAGACGACCCAGCCTGTGAAGTGGTCACTCTGCTTTCAGGGGGATGGCGCTGGGGAAATAGGAGCCGGAGAGTGATCCAGCACCCCAAATCGTCTGGCTCAGGTAGTCCATGAAGCTACCCGCGACATCTCTCCCCAACCCCCTTCGCTTCATCCACTCCTTCCCGGAGAGGAGAGCCTGGCCTCTACTTTGCTTAGAGCACCCCAGCTCCCTAGTTCTGTTGGAGCTCCGGGTGAAAGGGTAAAACGAGAGATATCCACACAGTCCTCATGCCTCAGTTTCCCCCTTTCTGGGTCCCTGAATAAGTCACTTGAAAGGGGTAAAGTCTGAGAGGAAAGGGGAATATTTCCAGTACAGGAGTGGATGAGTCATACTGGGTTAAGGAAGATCGTGAAGCGGCTGGGGTGAGGGACCTGCATTCTGCTGACCAGCCTTCCCCTTCCCTTGGCCCTGTCTTTCCTAAGTGACCACTCCCCTACTCACTCTGTCTTCCTAGGTCTGAGAGTCATTGGAGCTACCATAGCCACCATGGGGCCCTGGGGAGAGCCAGAGCTCCTGGTGTGGCGCCCGGAGGCAGTGGCCTCGGAGCCCCCGGTGCCCGTGGGACTGGAGGTGAAGTTGGGGGCCCTGGTGCTGTTGCTGGTGCTCACTCTCATCTGCAGTCTGGTGCCCATCTGTGTGCTGCGCCGGCCCGGAGCTAACGCTGAAGCCTCAGGTAAGCCTTGTCTTTTCCCTGCTGCCATGGATGCTTGGGATAGGGGAGGCTCTGGGACTAAGGAAGGTGACCTAAGAGGGGAGTGACCATTGCTTGGGTTGGAGTAGTGGGGTCTAAAGGGGGTTCCTTTGTTCATTCCCCTTTATGGTCCACTCCTGTCCAGCCTCCCGCCAAAAAGCCCTGAGCCTAGTAAGCTGCTTTGCGGGTGGTGTCTTTCTGGCCACATGTCTCCTAGACCTGCTGCCTGACTACCTGGCTGCCATAGATGAGGCCCTGGCGGCCCTGCACGTGACGGTAAGTCCTGATCAACTGCATGTGACCCTGTGTATGTGGGTGTTCCATCACATACTTCTAGGAGAGGTGGTTTGTATGGATCTTCATGTGTCACTCCATGAGTGTGTGGAAGCCTCTTGGCATGTGACCCTATGAGCTGTGATTTTTAGTTACAGAGCCTAACTCTCTCTGTGGGTTCTCCTCCCCCCAAACCCTGAGTCCTGTGTGCCCCTATGTACCCTTTGAGACAGTGTGAGGAAACTTATTACCAGGTGTGTGACCTACTCTGGCGGTTCCTTAGTTCCAGCCTCCAGGAAGTTAATAGCACTCCAAGAATCATCTTCACCCTCTCACTGCTTTCCTGAAGGGCTGGGGATAAAAGTCTCTACAGGCCTGGAAAGGCTAGGAGGCAATTCCCAGGGCCCTCGTATTGCTGACCAAAGAGGCTATAGCCCAAGGAAGTAGGATGTGGGGAAGATGAAGTCCAAGGCGTAGGAAAGTCCCACAGGAAAAACTGAGACAGTTGGGGGAACTGAGGAAGTAACACTGACTATAACCCTCTGTGTGCCTGTGACTGAGTGACCTGTGTCTCTGTGTGACTGTGTGTAACCCTGATTGTCCCGTGACAGTATTTGGCTCCGTGTGTGAGCATTTGGAAAGATGGGCCAATGTGTGACCTTTTGTTTATATGCCTACATGTGGCACTTTGTGTCTGTCTACATTAGTGACTCTCTGCTGCGGGTAGTTTTGCTCACACCTTCCCTCAGGAAACATCTGGTAATGTCTGGAGACATTTTTGGTTGTCCGAACTCAGGGTGGGAGGGCTTGCTGCTGCATTTAATGGGGAGAGGCCAGGTATGCTGCTAAACATCCTGTAGTGCACAGGACAGCCCTCTGCAACAAAGAATTCTCCAATCCAAGATGTTAATAGTGCCAAAGCTGAGAAACCATAGTCCACATGTAACACTGTCAGTGACACCATAAAATCCATAAGGTTGTGTATCATTCTGTGTCTATGGCACCAAGTGTCTCTGTATTTCTGTGTAAACGAGAGTGGCTTTGTCTGTGTGGGACACCAAATCTGTGTAGCTGGGACTCCCCTAGACTCTGCATCTGACTCTTCTTCCCCACTCTTGACCTATCTCCTGAACTCCATGCTGCCCCCTCTGCCCACAGCTCCAGTTTCCCCTACAAGAGTTCATCCTGGCCATGGGCTTCTTCCTGGTCCTGGTGATGGAGCAGATCACACTGGCTTACAAAGAGCAGTCGGGGCCACCACCTCGAGAGGAGATGAGGGCTCTGCTGGGAACAACGAACGGTGGGCCGCAGCACTGCCATGATGGACAGGGGGTCCCACAGCCAGGTGGAGACCCTGCAGCGCCCTCAGCCTTGCGTGCCTGTGTACTGGTCTTCTCCCTGGCCCTGCATTCAGTGTTCGAGGGCCTGGCGGTGGGGCTGCAGCGAGACCGGGCTCGGGCCATGGAGCTGTGCCTGGCTTTGCTGCTCCACAAGGGTATCTTGGCAGTTAGCTTGTCCCTGCGGCTACTGCAGAGCCACCTGCGAGCACAGGTGGTGGCTGGCTGTGGGATCCTCTTCTCGTGCATGACACCTCTGGGCATTGGGCTGGGGGCAGCTCTGGCAGAGTCGGCTGGGCCACTGCACCAGCTGGCCCAGTCTGTGCTGGAGGGCATGGCAGCTGGCACCTTTCTGTATATCACCTTCCTGGAAATCCTGCCCCAGGAGCTGGCCACTTCCGAGCAGAGGATCCTCAAGGTCATTCTGCTCCTAACAGGCTTTGCCTTGCTCACTGGGCTACTCTTCATCCAAGTCTAGGGGGCTCCAAGATGGGCAGGGGAGGTTGGGTACCACATGCCCTTGACCTTCCTCCCCTCCCCCAATGTGTGGGGAATAAGAAGGAGTGAGGCAGGGAGATATTGAGGACCAAAGACCTCTCTGGGAGGTAGGGATAGAGCCTTTGGGACTATTTGGCCAATGAGAGGGAAGTGGACAGACAAGAGCCTGGCTCTCAGGCCCAAGGGACAAAAGATGGTCAAGTCACTAGAGACATGATCAAGGGACATTAGTATTGGGGAAGACACTGAGTGCTGGTATCAGGTCAGACTACATGCAGGGACGAGCTGACACTGGGGAGGCTGGAAGTGGGCACCCAGCTGCTGTGAGACAAAGGTATAGAGAGAACACAGGCCCAGAGGCAGCAGTCCTGTTGGTTCTAGCCCATTTCAGCCCTCTGTCACTTGGAGGGGACCTCTCCTGCTTTTCTTTGCTCCTACCCTCGTATCTATTTTCCTCTTCTTTTCTCCCAGGGGACTAGTGCCAAACGGCCTCTTCTGCCAGTTTTGGTACTTTCTCTGGCTTCTCCAGTCCTGCTCACTCCTCTGGTTTTAAAGTGCCAAATAAGTCCCCGCCCTCTTTCTCAAAGCACAGCGATGGCACTGAGCCCTGCCCAGCACCTCAGTGGTGGGTGACTACTTACTCTTTGTTTTCGTCCCAGATCCTGGGGTGGGGCAGAAATGTTTGCTGAGTTGGGGTCGGGGGAAGGTTGTTAGAGCTATGGTCCCCTACCACTGCTGCACCCTAGGAATGCTGAACATGGTGCCCCATGCCCAGATGATAAACACTGAGCTGCCAAAACTTTTTTTATACCAGAGGATCCCAAGGGGGAAGGGAAAGGCTCACCCCCATGGTTATTTTTGGGGAGGGAGGGCTGTGCTTAGGGCCATATTATCTAGAATCTATTTTACTAATTGACCTGTTTTGGGACATGTTACCCAAATAAAACATGTTTGTATACATCTGTACAGTATCTTATTTGTCTTGGGAAAGGGGTGGGCACGTGGCGAGTCTGAGAGGGCCTGAGCCCCAGATGTTTAGAGCTGTTCCAGTATCCCTGGTCTCACTGTTTTCATTCAGGCCCCTTTGGTCCCCTTCCCTGAAGATGACCAAATTTTTCCTCTTGTCTCTTCTTCCCTCCCTGTCTCCACCCCTTCCCTTTCCTCCCAGTTTCCTTTCCTCTCTAATCCCTCACCCGTTAGTGTTTGTAGGCTCGAAACCAGTTTAGAACTACTTTTCCCAGCTTGCTCCGCGCAGAGAGGCGCTGAGGAGGAGGAGCAAAGTTACCAGTTCCCGGAGTCAACAGGGCTGTTGGGAAATGGTGTCCGTTTCCTCTCCCTCACAGCGTGACTGGGGCTATGAAGGAGTCACGTAAACAAACTACAATTCCCGGCGGTCCCCGCGCGCAACAGGTCAGGGCTAGG